TATTGACATAGTTAAGATTTATAGAATGCTGTCCCTAGCAAATACAAAATGCATGTTCTAAGGTACACAGAGAACATTTGTATAGAACATCATATGTTGGGTTTTTAAATAAGCCTCAATAAGTTTCAACTTATTAAACTCATACAGAGTATGTTTTCTGCCCCCAGCAGTGCTAAATTAGAAATAAGAAAATCCCCAAATATCTGAAAATTAAACATCTAAGTAACCCTTGGGTCAAAAAATTCACAAGGGGAAAATAAATGAAAACACAACACATCAAAATTTGTGGAGTGTACAAAAGCAGCTCATAAAGGCCTAAAATTAATTATCTATGTTTAAGAAGCTGCAAGAGAGCAAATTAAAGCTAACATAAGTAAAAGAAGGAATACTATAAAAATAAGATAAAAATTAATGAGATTGTAAACATGAAAATAGAAATTTTAAAAAAACTGAAAAGCTGATTATTTGAAAAGAGTACAAATATTAATAGTCCTGTAGCAACACCAATGAAGCAAGAGAGAAAACCCTGATTACCAATGTGAAGAATGATAGAAAGGACATGACTACAGCCTATAGTCATTCAAAGTATAATAAGGCGATACTATGAACAACTTTATGTCAGTAAATTGTTTCATTTTACATGAAATGGACAAAGTCCTTGAAAATTTATCAAAACTAACACAAAAAGAAATCTAAATAACCATATACTTAAAAAAGAAATAGAAACCAATTTAAAATTTTTGCACAAATCTCCAATCTTGGCTTTACTAGTGAAGTGTTGTTAAACATTTAAGGAAGAGGAAATAATACCACTATTACATTAACTCCTAGAAAACAGAATAGAAAGGAACACACTTTATGGGGCTAATATCACCTTGATACTAAGGCTAGACACAGACAGTATATGAAAATTACAATTCAATGTCCTTTATGCATATAGGTGCAAAAGTCCTTAACAGTATACTAGCAAACTGATCCCAGTAATACATAAAAAGGATAATATGTCATGATGTGTCATATTGAGTTTATATATGTGTGTGTGTGTGTGTGTGTGTGTGTATGTATGTGTGTGTATATATATATATATATATATATATATATAGAGAGAGAGAGAGAGAGAGAGAGAGAGAGAGCCTTGCTCTGTTGCCCAGGCTGGAGTCAGTGGTGCTTTTTCCACCTCCCTAGTTCAAGCAATTCTCTCACCTCAGCCTTTCTAGTAGCTGAGATTGCAGGTGCATGCCACCATGTCTAGCTAATTTTTGTATTTTTAGTAGAGACAGGGTTTTACCATGTTGCCCAGGCTGGTCTCGAACTCCCGATATCAGGTAATCTGCCTACCTCTGCCTCTCAAAGTGTTGGGATTATAGGCATGAGCCACTGTGCCCAGCCTGTCTTGTTGAATTTTGGAATCAATGTATGTAATTAACCATATTAACAGAGTAAATCAGAAAAATATGAACATTTTAGCAGATACTAAAAAACTGTTTTGATGGAATTCATTCCCAATTCATCATTAAAAAATCTCAACTAGTCATAGAAGGAACTTTCTCCACCTATGAAAAGCTGTGAAAGGCACTGAAATATTGAATACTCTCCACATTCAACTGGGAACAAGACAAATGTATGTACGGTCTGTGCTTTTATTCAGTATCATACTAGAGATCCTAAGTAGTGCAGTAAGGCAAGAAGAAGAAATATAAGACATAATGATTGGAAAGAAATAAATTATGTTAACAGATGACATACTTTGTGAATGTAGAAAATCCTAAGAAATCTACAAAACTACTGGCATTATTAGTAAATGAATTTAGTAGTGTTACAGGACATGGTATACTACTGTATGTTGGCAACTAATTTTTGGAAAATAAAACAAGAACATTACCACTTACAAAAGCATCCAGAAAACATAAAATATCCAGGGCTAAATTTAATGAAAGATACGTAAGGCTTCTGCAGTAAAACTCCCAGAGAAGATTGCTGAGAAAGATGAAAATGGAACTGTATACCATATTCATCCATTGGAGGACTCAGTATTATTAAGATGTTAATTCCCAAATTGATGTATGGATTCCATGCAGTTCTAGTAAAAACCCCTGCAGATTACTTTTGAAGATTCTGAAAGGCTCATTCTAAAGTTCATAAAGAAATGGGAGGGACCTAGAATAGCCCAAGTAATCTTCTAAAGGACCCCCACTACCTGACTTTAAGACTTTCCAGTCAAAAGGTGAATATAAGAGTTGAGAGAACAGAAATTGACCACACCTAAGATGTTGTATAGTTTTTAACAAGGGTATCAAAGCAATTCAATGAGGAGAAGAAAATCTTTTCAACAAACAGCATTGATAACAACTGGATATATATGGGGGAAAAAACCAACCTCACCTTTAATCTCTCACCATACATGAAAACTAATATGGATGTTAGACCTATCTTTAAACTAAAACTTTAAAAGTTTCTGAAAGCAAGCTTAGGAGAATATCTTTCACCTTGGGTTATGCTACCACTTAAAAAAAATTGGAAAGTTAAACTTCATCAAAATAAAACTGCTTATTAAAGATACCTTTAAGAAAAGAAATAAGCAGGCCACAACCTGAGAACATATTTGCAGCATATATATCTGATAAGGGACTTGTATCTATTAAAGAACTTTTATAACTAATAAAAAGGCAACAGAATTTTCAATGGGCAAGAGCCTTGAACAGTCACTTGACAAAGGTACATATGTATGTGTGTGTGAGTGTGTGAATACACACTTGGAATAGTGCTCAACATTATTAGTCATCAGGGAAATGCAAATTAAAATCACAATGAGAGGATACTACATATCTACTAGAATGGGGTAATGAAATTACCTAAACAGACTAATGACACTGATGATGTAAACACCAGTTTGAGTATAAGATGATATCACTTTAGAAAGTAGTTATGGCAATTTTAAACACATACTGCCCTATATCTTAGTAATTTTGCTCTTAGATGTCTAAGAAATGAAAATAGATACCAAAAGTATAACAAAGAATGTTCATAAATGTATAACAAAGAATGTTCAAACAAAGCTTTAATCACAATAGCCCCAAACTGGGAACAATGCAAATTTCTAGCACCAGGAGAATGAATAAACAGATTGAGGTGTATTCATGCAATACAACTCAACAATTAAAAGGGGCAAATTACAGATAAGTTAAAAAATGTGACTATGAGTAAGAAAGTGGATGAATTCTAGAAACATATATTAAACAAAAGAAGCCAGACACAAAAGAGTACATACTTGGATTCCATTTATGTGCACATAGCTAAGCTATGATGATAGAAATCAGAACAGTGGTTGCTTCTTGAAGGAAGAATTAATTGAAAAGGGGCATAGGCCGGGCATGGTGGCTCAAGCCTGTAATCCCAGCACTTTGGGAGGCCGAGGCGGGTGGATCATGAGGTCAAAGATCGAGACCATCCTGGTCAACATGGTGAAACCCCGTCTCTACTAAAAATACAAAAAAATCAGCTGGGCATGGTGGCGCGTGCCTGTAATCCCTGCTACTCAGGAGGCTGAGGTAGGAGAATTGCCTGAACCCAGGAGGCGGAGGTTGCGGTGAGCCGAGATCGCGCCATTGCACTCCAGCCTGGGTAACAAGAGCAAAACTGCATCTCAAAAAAAAAAAAAAAAAAAAAAGGGGGGGGGCATAAAGGAACTTCCTGGGATGATAGAAATGTTCTGTATCTTAGTAGGAATGTGGATTATCTAGACGTATGTATTTGTTAAAATGGATCAAACATCTGTGTCTTTCACTGTATTTAAATTATAAATCATTTTTTAAAAAAATTAATGGAATAGTATATATAGAAAAGAGTATTTGCTTAGAAACTAGATGTGGTTTCTCATCTTAACTCTGCCCTAAATTTATGTATGCTTTGGGCAAGTTCATTCAATCAGTCATTTATTCATAATATATTTAACCAAGTTTTGAGCATATAATCAGTACTGTGCTATGCTAGACGCTCAAGATATAAGACTAAATAAGAGAGACAAATGCTGGTAGAGAACATAGAGAAACAAAATATGGTGTGGTAAGTACTTTCTAACTGAAGTATGACTGTAAAAGGAAGTAGGTAACTCTAGAGCTGGGGAAGACTTCGCAGAGGAGGTGACATCGAACTGGATTTTTAACGTTTTAGGAGTTTGTAATACATGCAAAAGGTATGGCGAAAGACTATCTATGGTGAAGGTAGTCCTTTTACCAGCACTGGTATTTAAGCTTCAGTACACTTCCTGTACCCCTCTTATCTCAGGATTGGACAAACTAGACTTTGTTGACCATATCTGTATCTTTATGGATTGCTATTAATAGATCTTTGACCATTTTCTTTTCACCTTTTACTTTTCTCTGGGGAAATCTCAATCTCAATCAATCTCTCTCTCTCTCTCTCTGCCTCTCTCTCTGTTTCTCTCTCTCTCATCTTGGGGTGTATCTAAACTAAGACCTCTATTTTTATTTGTCTTATCAGTTTTTATTTGAAGTCTCAGTTTGTGAACTGTTCTTCAGTATGCACAGTAAATTCCTACAGTTTTCAAATTTGATCTGATTTTGGTTTTGTCAGTGTTTGTTACTGGTGGTGATCTCTGGAAACAAGATTATGAAATTTAACTCTTTTCTTCATTTAATTTTTTAAACTTATACATTCAAGATTTTTTAACATTTTATGTAATTAATATATCTGCTTCATAAACACACTGGTGTCAGCCCATTTGCTAAGAACTCATCAGCTGAGAACCTGTTGACTCAGTTGAGGAAGGCTTCCTCTGATACATCATGTTGCTGTTTTTTTTAATTATAAAACTGTATGAGTTTAGCCCTAGAGAAAATTTGAAATAAGCTGATGGAAACAAACTTGAGTTTGTGTTGCATTTTAATGTCAACTTTGTAAGGTTGATAAAATGCCTCAAAACTTACTTCTTTTTCAGCTATAAAGAATTTTTCTCATTTGGCTTTCTTTCACATAAATAGGTTTTACAGAAGGCGACATGTGTTGTTCAGAATGAAGTGGACAAATGTGTAGAAGATATTATGAAGGAAAAGAATATTAACCCTGAGAAGGATTCCAGGTGTGCTGTTTTTACACTATTCTTTTTTATTATGCATTTATAGCCTGTGAGGTGTGGAGATCACACACTGCTGTAACACTTTAGACCTGAAGGGTTTGTGGAGATGATCTGATTCAGTGCTGTCACTTCACAAGATGAGCAGTTGAGATCCAGAGAGGACAGTGATAGAATTAGAACTAGAACCTCTGTCTCTTGGTTTCCAATCCAGTACGAATGCCACTATATCATCTGCCTTCTTCAAGGTGTCTAACCATCACTTTCCCAGGTTAATAACTTTAGGTACTATGTCCTTTGAAATATAGTTCCTATATCCTCCTCTAGTAAAGTCCTCCCAGGTTCCTCCATTCTGAGTTAGGTGCCTTGCTGTGGCATCTCACGGTGCTATCATACCATTTAACCCATTTTGCTATAGTCATTGATTAACTCTTTTCCTTCCCCCTGTAAATTTTAAATTCCATTAGAAGAGGACTTATTCCATTTCTGTGTTCCCAGTGCTGGTATGTTGACATAGTATTTCACATTATTTACTTCATTCAGCATTTTCTATGTGAATATAGAGGAAGGAACAATTTATTTCAGCTGAGATGAGCAAGGATCTAGGAGGGAACTATGAGGCTGTTCCATACAGAGATGACATTTAAACTGGACCTTACTGAAAGGGTAGGGGAACAGTGCCAGCAAGGCACAGAGACATAGAAATATTAATACTTTTGTATCTGGAGTGATACAGAGTCATTTGTAGCTGGAGCATTGAATATGAGCAGAGTGGTGGCTGGAGAAATGATTGAAATGCTAGAATGATACATTGCAGAGTCCTGTATGCCATACTGAAGGATGTAGGTGTTGTCCTCTGGTTTTTAAGCAAAAACAAGCTATGTTTTTAGATAGGTATTTTAGGAAGATGGAGAGTAGATTTGATGATGTGAGAGGCTGGCAGAAGGAATAAAGAATAGGAAACTTGAGTCATTCAGGCAAGAAATGACAAAGGCATAAATATAGTAGCAGAAAGAGTGATATGAGGATTGCTTTGAAGGGCATTTCAGAGCTAGAAAGGATTAGGATGTGGGGATCTTTTGACACATTGTTGATGGAGAGAGGCAGGTCAGAACTTGGAGTGTTGTAACTTGGGGAACTAATCGTTAGCAATGTCATTAATAGATTTAGAGACTAAAGAAGGAGCATGTTTTGTTAGGGAAGATAAACAGTTGTATTTACAGCTGAGATAACCTACTGTGGAGCTATTTGTTTTATATATACTTGGAAAATTAAGTCTACTGGTGGTATCTGGCAATAAAGATTTAGGAATGTATAGAATTGCCCAGAGAAGACATGAAGAGAAAATCCTTCACAAATCCTTACAGTTGTGAAGTTTGCCATTCCTACCATGTCGTGCCTTCTATCTAGAGCCTTGTATCCTATGCAATACTTTGCATAATGTTTTGTGTTTAAGGAGGCTTTTGGTCGGGTCTTGTTTTAAACTGAAAGCCAGGAAATGCTTTCTAAATAGACATACAAACCACAGTCTATGAAAGACATTACTTTATTGTGATAAGAAGGTATGCTTTTTAAAAACTAATTTTATCATTTTTAGTTTTAAAATCTGCATGAAGATGTGCTTACTGCAGATAACTGGTTATAAACAGCTCTTTTTGGATGTAGAAAGTGTGAGGAAAAGGCCATATGATTCTGACAACCTACAACATGAAGAGTTACTCATGAAGGTAAATTTCTGTTTTCTTTATGCGGAATTGTTGGCCGTTAGAAAAATGTATCAGGCTTTAGCTAAGTAAAGTCTCTGTGAAATTCTAGAGGCTTATATACTTAGGCTTATATAGTTTCTTTACCCTTAGAGAATTTTATTATGCTGGATTTCATTGATATGGAAAGATTTTTAGTTAGCTATTTTTATAATTTTCTGATAAGTATTATAAATATATAATGAATACATATTTATATGAATAAATATATTCAAATAAATTTTAATGTTTTAAATTCTGAAATAAAAATCTATAAAGAGAGATCTTTTCAACCAAAAAGTGCATGTCCACAAGTTTCAGATTTTTCTCCTACTTTTTATACAAATTGCTTATGTAAGTTAGGCATTTTCAGCTACTTACAAATTGCAAATGTGTGTATCCCTTTTCGGGTTATTACGTCCAATCTTTTGGGACTTAGGGAATGTTAATTGCCAAGTAATGCCACAATAGATTTAAACTTTAAGAAAGTAAAAATTATTTACTTAGAATTTTTCTATTTTTTCTGAAGTATAAATGCCTAAGTCCAATGAGGTGTCAAAATTAAAGAGTAATAGACCTAGAGTAAGTTTTACAGATCATCTAGATTAGTACCTTCATTTGAGGGATAAAGATTCTAAGGACCAGGGAGATGAAGCAATTTCTGTTAGTACTGGAATGGTAGGGTCTGGAACAGAGATGAATCTCTTGCCCATGCATCCTCTACACCTATTCCAATTTTATTTTAAAATGGTTAAAGAAAATAGCACATTACATTTAGAATTAGGAGTTTGTTATAATGAAAAGTACTATGGAAAGAAACGATACTATCTAAGTAACTGTAAGAGACACAAGTTTACAAACAATAAAACCTTTTTTTTTTTTTTTTTCAGGAAAAGTATATTTTGTTAAATGAGGACAGTGCAAATGTGTATCTCAAAGGGTTATCATATGGATGGAGTTTTTATATTTAACATAGTACCTGGCACTGAGGATTAACTATTTCTGTCCCCATGGTCATTGTTTTTCCCTTAATGTTAGGCCCTTGCTACACTTTTGGGAAAAAGTACAAATCCTAACCTTCCAGTCTAGGGAATTTTACCTTGGTGCTTCGTGGTGAAATTCAGTTCTATACTACACATACTCAGCAGTCTTACTGAGTAAAGAGCTATGTAATCCATCTTCTTTAGGTGTAGTCCAGGGTTAACTAGTGTTTAATATGTAGAATCCAAAGTTTCACTTTATGCTTACAAAATTAGAATCTCCAGGAATGGAACCCAGAAATTCAATATTCATGCATATTACATTTTCAATACTAGTGATTCTACACTGTGGCTCTCACCACATCACTGAGGCCTTATCAGTGGCATAATCAAACTCCTTGCAGAATTCATGGAGAGAGGCTAATGTAAGCAAGTCACATGTGTTGGTAATAAAAGTGTGACCAAGTAAATCTAATCTAATGATTGGATTTGCTTCAGACCCAGAATCCTGACCCTGTTTTAAGGCAAGGTCACAAGTCTTCATTTTATTTTAGGTAACAGAATACTCCTTTCATTAGGGGTCTTTATTGAACAATGCCTGAAATGGTAATGAAATGGGAAAAAAAATGCAAGTATTTCTGTTTTGCAAGTTTTCACAAACCATTTTTAGTCAACTTCTATAAGTTTCTTTCATTGGATTCTTGTGATATTGAATTTAGACAATAAGTTTTCTTTATTTTGCATTGGCTTGTTGGTATGTAATATTTGATAGCTATTCTCAAATCCTCGTCCTTAAAGATATTTATTTAAAACCAAATCATATTTTTTTAAACTGAAAACTTGTAAAACAAGTTGGAATGTTATCATTTCTTCATGCCCTTCTGTCTTAGACCTATTATCATTCTGATTAGGGACTAATAACCCACCCATTATAATAGAGCCTATTTATACAGTATCTGAAGCAAGGGCTAAGTTCCTAAAATACCATATTTTTCTCAAGCAAGCTGCTTACCAGTTCTGGGCATATCTGTTTTAATTAGTAAATAGACATGTCATTGTTTTAGATTTTTGTGAATTGTTTGTTACCTTTTCAAAATCTGTTGTTTATAGCAGTCTTATTAATTGGAATAAATGTGCTGCATGTTTTAGGATAATTGAAAAATGTTCTAGATAAAGTCTTTGTTTAACCTATGATTTATCTACAGAAGTTATTTGATAGCATTAAATTACTAGTTATAAGCCATAAGAAGGAAAATGTCTTAATAATGGAAATATGTTTGTACAGCTTTGGAATCTTCTAATGCCCACGAAGAAGTTAAAGGCTAGAATCTCCAAGCAGTGGGCTGATATTGGTTTCCAGGGTGATGATCCCAAGACGGACTTCAGAGGCATGGGCATACTTGGATTAATCAATCTTGTGTAAGTGAAAGTAGACTTTCTTTTTTTCGCTAAATGAAATTACATGTAATCTCTGATCTAGTTACTTCTAATAAAAAGTGATCTAGTTGATTCATACTATCTCTGAATTTTAATAACTACAATGCTAGAAGTATTTGCTAATGTTGTTGGCAACAATATGAAGATATTGGAGGCCAGTCATAGTGGCTCACACCTGTAATCCCAGCACTTTGTGAGGCTGAGGCCAGAGGATCACTTGAGGCCAGAAGTTTGAGACCAGTCTGAGCAATATAGTGAGACCCTCTCTCTACAAAAATAATTAGCCAGGTGTGGTGGCATTTGCCTGTAGTCCAGCTTCTTGGGAGGCTGAGGCAGAAGGATTGCCCACGCTCAGGAATTCAAGGTTACAGTGAGTCATGATTGCGACACTATACTGCAGCATGGGTGACAAAGCAAGACCCTGTCTTTAAAAAAAAAAAGAGACATTGGTGGAAATATACTTGTGTGTGTGATTTCTTTACTTATCAATGCTTTCCTCTCCTTTTTCTTTCTGATCTCCATTTGATACCTTTTAAAGAATTATGTATACTCCTACTGCTTTTTCTCTCTGGGCTCTGTGATTCTATTTTGGGAAATATAACCAAGTAAGGTGATAATAAAGTCTCTTCATATATGTTCTTCACCACCTGTGACAACTGATCTACCTACATTCCTGACTTTATACGTATAGACTACCCTATGGACTTTCTCTCCTTTATCTTCTTTAATACTTATGATTAGCTACATGTATGAAATCCCCAAATATATAACTCAAATCACAATGATAGCCAAAACTATTCTAGAAGATAACCTGGAAGATTAATTTCCTCCTATAATGATATGCAAATGTACAAATTGTAGTGTTTGGGTCTGTTCATGAAATTGTGATTTATAGACTGTAAAATGTCTAGAATGGGAAGGCTAGCCTATTAAAGTTTGGATAATTCTTACTGTGAAAAAATCCTGAAATTGGTTAAATTCGGTTGATATTCATGGTTTTTCTTATTGTATATAGATGTATATTTTTCACCATTTGATACTGTTAAGGTAGAGGCTAACTAAATTCAGGAAGGAAATTAAAAATTGTTCTATCTTACAGATTGAATATTTTAAGAGTAGTTTGACTATTAAAATGTAATGCTAAATTATTACAAAAATGAAACATAAATAGTTAACTAAAGGCATTTTAGAGTCAACTAGGGATAAAGTAGGAAAATTAGAGCACTTAGGAAAGCACTGCATTCAGCCAAACTTTTTAAACTGTTTTGATGTTTGTAGATCCCATAGGGAATCTGAGGAAAGCTTTATATATGCTCTCTCAGAAAATGCATACACAGAAAATGTTGGACATAATGTAGGATGGTTTCTGGATTCCCCTTCATCCATAAATTATCATTGATTCATGGACTTCTAAGTTAGCCCCTGGTGTAATAGGTTGAAAACTAGAGCCAGTGAAGAAATATGGAAGTGTCTATTAATACTCTATAAAAGAATAAAGAGGGAAGCGTTAATTAGAAATTTCTATGCTTTATGAAAATTTCAAGGATTATGTCCTTTAAAATGTAAATAAATCATGGAAATTTATTTTTTATTCTTTTTATCCTCACGTGAGCATCTAGTCAGTCATTGTGTGTGTGTGTCTGTCATTCTGAGGTGATCCAAAGATTAAACAGATTTGTTATAGGCCAAAAGGATGTTGTTATAGGCCAAAAGGATGTATGTGCCTAAAAATAGATAGTTTAGTATTTACTAATATATATTTATATACAATAGATATACATCTCTCTTGTACTACTAATACTTAATGTTTATAGTTAGTATTTTAGTTATATGATTGATGAAGGAGGCTTCTCATTGCAAAAAGATTGTTGACTCCCTTCTGACTGCACTGAAAATGGCACTAAACAATACAGTCTTATATTGTAGTAGAAGAAATGAACCCTAAGTAAAAGGAAGAATGTCCTAACAGGTACATATTGACTCTTTTATAGAAAGAGAACAGGCAAAGAAACAAAAAGAACTCTAGTTTTTTGTTTTTTTTTTAAGGTAGTCTCTTTTTATGTTACCTATTTATTAAAATACTGTACAGTCTTGTCAACGACCTGTATTCTTTTTATTTTATTTTATTTTATTTTTTATTTATTTTTTTTATTGCATTTTAGGTTTTGGGGTACATGTGATGAACATGCAAGATTGTTGCATTCTTTACGAGATAGGCCCGATAGCTTGGGAAGTTTTGATTCAGAAGCATTTGTGAATCACTGAAGTGATTTGAGATAGACATCGGAATGGTCATGGCAGCACTGGGACTATCATTTTGACAGTAGATTTTTAAATTGGTTCTATATATCATACATTTGAATGGTGTATATTAGTTTGATTATTTTTCTTAAACTTTTTAGGTATTTCAGTGAAAATTACACTAGTGAAGCTCATCAGATTCTTTCCCGTTCAAATCATCCAAAATTAGGGTAAGCTGAGTATATTAAAGAACCCATAATCTCTTGCATTTACAATGATTAGATGATTTAATGAATTTGAAGATATATCAAGATATTTCTTAAAATGAGATGTTTTAATAACTTTATAAAGGATATTACATGATACATTATTTTTTAAGGAAAAATGTGATTGTAAACCAATTTTGTATGTATTTCAGTATATTTTTTATCACAAGCTATAGTTGATCTATACAATGGAGATAAGGGCCCTTATAAAATCTTTTTGAGAACTAGGTTTGAAGATAGGAAGAGGAAATCGTTTGGAAAAGCAGTAGGAAAATGGGGAAATAGCTTTGAAAATTGTAAAGTGAAATGCAAATTGATGTGGTTTTATTAGCCTTATCGTTATTTTTTAAAGTATTCTGATGGTATCTAATCTTTGAAAAAGCATAGTAACAATGTTAGATCATAAAAGTACCATGATAATGAAGAAGAAAATATCAGATTGTCCATTATATTTTAGAAATCAATGAGATTTGGGGTATGTAGTATCCCCCACTCCTTTTTTATTTAAGAGTTTTAGCTTTAGATATCATGTGAACACAGCATTCATTTTATTTCTTAGATTATATCCAGAAAAATAAACAGGCTTTAAAAAGCAAAAAAGTTAAATTCTTTCTAGTATATTTTTCTTACTATGTAGATATTATCATAATATCAATACTGTGTTAAACCTGAAGCAAAATCAATTTCTACTAATACTGTGCATAATTTTTAAGTTATTTTATGAGTTATTTGACTAGCTGGTATAACTGGTAATGTTTCTGACATAGGTATTCTTATGCAATAGTTGGAATCAATCTTACAGAGATGGCTTATAGCTTATTGAAGAGTGAAGCTTTGAAGTTTCATCTCTATAACTTTGTTCCTGGTATACCAACAATGGAACACTTTCATCAGTTTTATTGTGAGTATTAAAATGAGTTAAAACTAGATCTTTCTAAGATAATTCTTAAACTGCTAGGAAAGTATAATATATATTTTAATCTGTTGTCTCTATGAAGTATATAACTTATGTTTATAATTTTATTACTTAGGATCTTTGAAAAACAAGAAAATAGTGGAAGATGAGTCCCCAGGAGTATTCTGTGCTTCAGTTTTTATATTTGCTGATTATAAAAGATAATATTTCACATGTAGACAAATCTAAGATTCATGTAATTTTTCTTTAGGCATTCATTTTCCAGCTAACTACAAAATGAATTTTCCCTCTCGGATGCTGGTTAATGAATGCTGTTAAGGACAGACCGTTTGCAGATTATTTTATTATTTTTGGAAGGAAATTTAATTTAGAGGAAATTTTCACTTCCCCCTAACTTAAATTTCAAGGCCAAATTTTCTTGTTGTAAGTTAGGGGTACTTTAGTAACTGTTCCTAAAGCTGTCCTTACTCTCTCTATTCCATTCACTTTTAGTAACAATATTTGAATACTGAAGGTTTAATTGAAGGAATCCAACTTCTGAAGCTATTGTTCAGAAGCGAATATTTCAGATCTAGTTTATCTTCACCCACTATTTTTCTTGATCTTTTTGTGGTTTTAGAATGTCATTTGCATGTTGGTAGCATATAAGGAACGACTTAGATAATAGGTGGCAAAATCATAATTTCTTCATTTCCATTGTTGAAAGTATTATTCATGTCTCTTTTTCACAGAAGCTTTCCTGCCTTTACTTAACTCTAATTCCAGTTTTGTCTGCATCTTAACTTTCTCTTGTGGTTGTCTATTTCTTTCCATCCCCATTGTAACTGCACAGTATCAGGCCTTTGTTACTAGGTTACTGTAATAGTCTTTAGCTGTCTGTTTATGGTAACTCTCTTCTATTTCTTCTCCACATTGAAAGTATAGTTACTTAAAATGAAAATCTGATCATTTTACTCTACTGCCAAAAATTCTTCAAAGGATTCCCATTATAAGACCCTGCATAATCTGAACCTTGATAACCTCTTCAGACTCATCTTTTGCCATATACTAGCCCCTCTCTCACCCCCAAAAAGTCTATACTGGAGGCATCCCCATCTTCTTTTAGTTGCTTAAATGTATAATGCTCTGTTTTGACTCTATGCTTTTGCAAGTGACATTCACTTAGCCTGGAACACTATTCCAGCTCCCTCTGTTGTTTCCAGGTGATGTCTTCTCATCTTCCAAATCTCAGTTTAGGCGTGCTCTTCTCTGGGAAGTCTTACCAGAGACTTTGTTCTTTCAATTAGCCATTTCTGTCTTCATTACTAATCAGTTAGACTACACACCTGCCTCTGTACCTTCCATTCATGATTCATTTACTGTGTGTCAGGTATTGTTCTAGGCCCTGGGGCTGTAGCAGAGAATCAGGGTCACTGCATTCAGTGAGGAGCTGTCATCTTCAGAATCCAAACCTCCCCCAGTGCGGTGCCCACCTCCAGATACTACTTCATTTCTCTGCTCCTTTTCTTTAAGAAACTTTTAAATAAGTGCTGTTTTACATTTCTTCATCTCCAATTTTTATTGAATTCCAATTTGATTTCTCTCTCCACGACTCTGATGATGTTGACTTTTCTCAGACACCTTTTTTTTTTTTTTTTTTGCTGCCTAATACAATTGCCATGTTTTTTCTTCATGTTATTTGATCCTTTTAGTGGCACTGGGCATAAATGACCACAGGTTATTATCATGACTTTTCTGATGCCACATTCTCCTGGATTTTCTCCTACACAAAGTAGGAGCCAGTGCAACATGTTTTTTTTTTTTTTTTTTTTTTTTAGATTTATTTTTATTTTTATTTTATTGCATTTTAGGTTTTGGGGTACATGTGAAGGACATGCAAGATTGTTGCATAGGTACACACATGGCAGTGTGGTTTGCTGCCTTCCTTCCCCTCACCTGTATCTGTCCTTTCTCCCCATGCTATCTCTTCCCACCTCCCCACCCCCCGCCCCTCCCCCATTTCCCCCCAAAGGACTCCAGTGTGTAGTGCTCCCCTCCCTGTGTCCATGTGTTCTCATTGTTCAACACCCGCCTATGAGTGAGAACATGCGGTGTTTGATTTTCTGCTCTTGTGTCAGTTTGTAGGGACATGGATGAACCTGGCAACATGTTTTTAAATGGCAGGACAGGTTTCAGGTCCCTAAGGACAGCATTGATGATTCTACTCAAGTGTACTGAAGATTTCTAGCAGGCATGAGATGCTTTCTTTTACCATTCCAAAGTGTTGTTGCTGGGACTTTGCTAACTTGCCTCTGATTTTTTTTTTTAAATGAACTATTTTCCCTGTTCAATAGCTACCTATTGAACATAAATATATATATTTAAAAAAATTTAAAAACTCCCAAAACAGTTAAGCAGTTTCCCATATCTCAATATATACAGGAGAATGGTAGGTTAGAAAGCAGTGCAAAATGACCTCTGTGCAGTATTTTTTCCCCTAAAAACTGGGACACTTGAGGATCTGTGGGAACTGTTGCTCTTCAGCAGCCTCATACCATCTGGGCTGGCTCCTCTATAGGAAGGACATTAAAGTGTCATATCTGAGGTAGAAAAGTCATTGGAGAACCTTTTCAGTTGCCTTCCGTCAGCTCATATAAGAGCTGTAGATCATCCTGAAAACAGTGAAGCTTATAGTTTTCACTTTTTTTGAGACATTAAAATGCACATTCACATATACCTATGTACTTTTAAGCAGAAGTTTCCCAGAAAATTGATTTTTATACCCATTACCACTGGAAGCTTTACATCTTAAGTAAGGTTCTGCTTTTCTTCTTAGGAGGAACCTATTCTAACTAGGATAATAATTTGAAACCTTATCTTTTGAATGTACATACTTTTTTTTTAGAGGAGTGGGCTCAATTAGTTTGCAAAAATTAGTTCCAAGGTCTTAGTTTCTCTCCAGAAGAAAGAACAGTTAAGAGATTAGTTTCCACATTTTTTGTTTCCCTGCGATCTGCCTTCATCTCCCCCTTTTCCTTTGACCTCCCTGCCTTTCTTTTAATGCATCCTTTGTAGGAAAGCCTGGAAATACTGTTAGTTTAGCTTCTCAGCTCCATTGTCATCTTGTATATCTCAGCTGTGAGCAGGTATCTGCTGTGATTCTGGAAAGTAACCGCTAGTCCAGCAGGAGGGCTCAGGATTTCAGGACCTCTGTCTTCTGCATATTCCTGTCTAGCATGTCTCCATTCTAGTTTTGTAGGGTCACAATTTTACCTGGACTTCTGGTTTGTTGGTTCCAGAAAAAATAGTAACACCTCAAGTTTGTATAACAAAAAGTTATGCCTCAATAACAACTTTATTGAGGTATAATTTATATACCATAGAATTTACCCATTTTAAATCTACACTTAAATGAATTTGAATGAACTAAATTGTGTAGCCATCATCATAATCCCCTTTTAGAACATTGTTATCACCCCAGTAAGATCCCTCATTCAAGTTCACAGTTAATCCCCTTTCCTGTGGTTTTCTTATCCCTAACCTCTATAGTAGATACATGCAGGGAATTTCAGGTTTAGACATTTCGTGTGGTGATTTCTCAGAGTCTAAGTGTTCCAAACTTCTGGACTCAAGGAAAAAATATTTACATCATGGAAAACAGCTCTTTTCCATCACGTTTTGCAAAGTTTTGGGAGACTTATGCCAAGGATAGCCTGCCAGTTTCCTAGAGTTTCAGTATTTTTTCCTGCTGTTTCCTGATGTCACATTAAATCACCTTAGCTATTATAGTCTCTGTTCTTCAAGTTAGTCTTTCTCTGACACTGGTTTATATTATAGACCAACAGCCTCACTCTGAAGCAAGAAGTTCCTAGTGCTTTAACTTGAGCAGTTTGTTCCAGGCCCACGTAGTCATTTGAATGGGTTACATTACTGACAGTAATGAAAAACCAATTTAAAGGACATAAGAATCGTAAATATCTAAAACCTAATAACCAGAAATACTAAAACAAATGGTATGGCCATAAAATTTGGATAGCTATCTGCCTTATCATACTACACAGAATGTTAATCTCTAAATGTATTTATTGTATATCCCTAACATTGTATGGGGTATAGAGATAGCAGATGATATTTCTCCAGAGTTCATTCCTTGATTTTACTTGTATATCATGGTTGACCAAAATCTGTTTTATCATATATTGAGAATAATCCAAAAATCTTTCTTAAACTGGCTTTCTTATGAACGGATATTTCAGTGTTGGAATATGATGTTTTTAACCATTAATGTTTACTTTATGACCAATATTATTAAAATGAGGTTTCCATTTTTTTCATAGTAGGCAATCATGATAGTCTAGCCATCCTTTTGTATAAAGCCATTGGCTTTTGCAACAGAGACCACTTACAAGCTGTGTAATTTGGTCACCATTTAACTTCTCTGCACCTCTGTTTCTGCTTTGGTAGATGGGAATAACAACATAGTACTTGTATCCTAGGGCTGCTCTGACAGCATGTGAGCATTTAGTGAACACTGTAGAAATATTTTAAAAAATAATTCAGTAAGTACATTTGGTTGCATACAAAGTAGGACTGGATGGCTTTATTTATTTATTTATTTTTTAACTTTTTAACAGTTTATTAAAGTACATGATAAACTGCATATATATGACATGATAAACTATACATGTCTGATAAACATGTATGATTTGGTAAGTTTTAACATATGTATATACCTGTGAAGTCATTCCCATGATCCAAATGGTGAATATAGTCACCATCCCTGAGAGTTTTTATGTGCTTCTTGGTAATCCATGCCTCTTGCCCCTCCTGTACCATCCGAGGCAACCACAATCTTTTTGTCACTATAGATGAGTTTGCATTTATTTTCTAGAATTGTATTTCAGTGGAAACATGCAGTGTTTACTCGTTTTTGTCTGCTTTATTTCTCCATAATTTGTTGTGCATATTAATAGCTTTTTTTAATTTTTTAATTGATTAGTTCATTTATTCTTATTGCTGAGCAATATTTCATTATATGCTACCCATTGTTTATGTACTTGTTGATTGATATTTTGATGTTGGGTAGCTTTAAGTTCACATTTAAGCTTATATATATATGTATGTGTGTATATATAAACAAGTTCAGTTTCATGAAATGCTTTTAACGTTTTGAAGGTTAATTTGGCTACCATAATGAGGATATTGAAAATGAAAAATATTAAGCTGATTTGGAGGGGATGTATTTTTTTTAAAAAAGAAAAGATGCTGCTAGTTCATTGAAAAAAAGTAGAAATAACTCTTAGATTTAGAAATCGAGTAGAAAATAGCTTTCCTACACTTTAGCCTTATCCAACATTTTCTCATTACTTTTATTTTTGTGCTTCAGGGGTTTCTCAGGAAACTTTTCTCAAGGTATCTTTTGAAAATACTACATCTTTTCTCACTGTCACCCAGGCTCTGGAGTGCAGTGATGTGATGACGGCTCACTAAAACCCTGACCTCCTGGTTTCAAGTGATTCTTTCACCTCAGCCTCCCAAGTAACTGGGACTACAGGTGCATGCTACCGTGCCTGGCTAATTTTTGTATTTTTTTTGCAGAGATGGGGTTTCACCATGTTGTCCAGGCTGGTCTCTTAACTCCTGGACTCAAGTGATCTGCCCACCTCAGACTCTGAAAGTGCTGAAAGTTCAGACATGAGTCACTGCTCCTGACTGAAAGTACTACATCTTATAAGCTTGAAGGATGTTGTTGATTTTTGAGACAAAGAGTAAATGTACACTAAATTGTTTATTGAAATTGCTGTTTATTTTGAACATCTGGAAACATTTCTTATTAAGTCCCTCAGGCCTCCAATAGTCTTGAGATTACTTTTGATTATTCTAATATGAGATTTAAAGGATAGTTATATACTTCGTAAAAATGAGATGGTTTGAATGTGATTTCAATTTTGAGGACTATATGTTTTGTTTTTCTTTAACTGCAGGTTATCTTGTCTATGAATTTGACAAGTTTTGGTTTGAAGAAAAACCAGAAAGCATTATGTATTTCAACTTATATAGAGAGAAGTTTCATGAAAAGATTAAAGGACTTTTACTGGATTGTAATGTAGCACTTACTTTAAAAGTATAAATCATCCACTGTATCTTCTATTTCTACCACATTTTGCACATTCAACAGAATTTATATGTTGTAATAGAAATTATCTGATCAATTTACACTCTTATATATAATTTCCTACAAAAATATTTCAGAAATTCTATTTAAGAAAGCTGGTGGACAATCAGTGTATGTTTACAGTTATTTATACACTGTTCTCCAAAGGTACCTTATCCTTCCAAAGATTCCCTCTGTAGAGTCATGCAAACTACAGTTTGGAACTTGGGACTTAGCCCATTAGTGTAAAAGTATAAATCAGGTATTTGTATTAAATTGGTAGATTAAAATGTGTAAAATCAGTTTTCATTTTTATGTGTTGCAGGATCAAGTTGGTATCTTTTTCAAAGTTCTTTAAGTTTTTTTGGTTTTTAGTTTGGAAATGGCTGTTTTTAATTTTCTTTGTATGATTTTATTTCTGGGTTAATTAACAGCAAGAGTGTTTATGGTTTTCTTTGTTTGCATCTTAATTACATGCCATAACATTGCTTCATTAGCAGCAAATAGAGCAGAGATATGGCAGAGAGAATAAAGAATCATGGCCTCCTTTTGGGTTTCTGTGATTATTGAGCATAAGTGATGAGAGAATGAAAGTATTGGTGACCAGCTTTTTTGTTTTTAAATAACACCCTTTAAAATGCTATGGTGTTATTTGAAAGCTTAAAGACATTTTCTCATCTTCAGTATTTGCTTTTTGTCAGTTGTAGAAAAGAACATTAGTGTTTGGCGTGAAGCCTTTTATCAGGCTTCTCTACTTAATGTATGTTTATGAAAAGAGATTATTTGCTGAGAAAATCTTGTTCATATAAAAGACAAAAAGATTATTAAAGACAGTTTCTATTTAAATAAAACTGTCTTTGAAACTTAAGAAAACTTAAATTTAAAAAAAAATCTCAGTTAAACATCATTGGTTTATTTGACTTACTGTTAACTCTTGCTTCTCTTTGACTCCATGGTGTTTTTAGATAACCATGTATGAACTTTATGTTAACGGTCTGTGGAATACTAAAGTAGCTTGAAGATGACATGACGACTGTGCGTTTTATATAGTTTTATTCTCCTAAAATCTCAGGAGAGCAGCAAGTGCTGTCAAGGATTATATAGTGATGAGAATCTTACGGGAATGATTTCTTCTTGGTGTGTTTTACACATTTGTACTGATAGCAAAACTAAGGTTTAAAGTCAGGAAAGTTCAAGTTATCCTTGAATCCTACAGAAGCCAACCTTTTAAAGACATAATTTGATCTAAAACATGATGATATTTAGCACACCTTTTAATGTGGTATATAGCAAGCGTTAAAAGGACTAGTTCATATGTGATAGAGCAAGACCTGAGACTTTTTCAGTGTTTGCTCATGTCTGTTGGCAGACCTTTCTCTTTTCAAACTTGTCAAAGAGTGGTAAGACATATCCACTTGGAAAATAGGATGCAGTGTTGTATAGCATGTACATTTAAAGTGCATGTGTTAAAATTAGTTTTTCAATAAGATAAAATTATTTTAAAAATCTGGTTCACTTTATTATAACAGTGACAATTTCGCTTTTTACTATTACAGGAAGTTGAAAATTGGTTTCTTGTAGGGGACGTCTCAACTTTGGGAATATCTTCACTTAATTTTTAAAAAATATTTTCATGCTTTATTGTCACAAAATCCTGGCAAGTTCATTTTATTAAGGTGTTCACTATTACATGGAAAGTAATTCTGTTCATCTTTTGATGTTTGTGCTGAAAATGCTTATCTTTGTATTTTGATCTTTTAACAGCTGAGAGCTTGAACTGATTTAAACCTTTGCCAGTGTACTTAAAAATGCTTCAAGTATGGAAGGGGAAAATTTTAAGTAATTAAGTTTTTTCCCTTCTAGGAAGAAAAGCTATGATGATATTAAGAAAATATCATTATAAAGTTTATGCAATAATATGTTCTTTAAATCCACCTCCATTTGTACATTATAGATAACATTCTGGTTTTGACTTAAAATAATCTGCAAGCATTTCAGATAGTTTTACAGCAAATTGATCTAAAAGCCACTAACAAATTTTAGGGTTTGAGTCTAGAAGCCAAGCAAAATGTCACCAATGTCAGTTGTAAATTAGAATGCAGCATGAGCCTTCAGACTCATGATAGTGAGATACATCGAAAGAAAAATTGTGTCTGCCTTCCTACTTTCCCTTTTGACATATGTAGTTGGAATTTTATGTAGTCTTAAAATCCATATTTAGAATCTTACCTATTTCTGTAATAATTAGTAAAATGCCATAGTAGTGATAGAATATTATGGCATTCAAGTAGCCTAAAAATTATGTTAGTTTTAGCATCAAAGGAATAAATAAATGTTGAAATGAATTTTTGTATGTGCCAGGTTGAAGAGAGTGTGCCAGTGACTGGAATAGTCTATAAATTTAATAGTTATGGTTTTAATAGGGTCTCAAAGACAATCTTTAAAGAAATGGGAGAAATCAGGGGGGATCAGTGAAGCTATATCAACCTCTCTGTGTACATAAATACAGTGATGTAGCTAGATATAAAAGTCAGTGTCTTCCTGGCACCATTTACAGTTTAGAAAACAATCTTTTTCTTAAAAAAAAAGTCCATCTGATTTTTTTCTATTTTTAGGAGCTACTTGGATTTGTAAGTATTTTTTCTATGTGAAAATATATGTATTCTTCACTTTTGTTCCAATATTGTAATTACTCATGCACTCTTTCTCCCCTTTGAGAACATTCAGTGGATACAACTTCATCAAAGATTTGCTCAAAGGAGAAGCATCCCATGAGTGTGAAAAGATGCTTGTAGCCAGAACAGAAAAGGTTCCACATGATCGTGGCAAAGAAGATAGGAGGTTTGACTTGGAGGGCCATAATGTTTATTATCCTTCTTGAAATAATGGGGACCAGCAGCTCTTTTCTCAGGATAAATGCTCTAGCCCACTTCTCTCTGAACAGGCATGGAGAGGCTTACTTTCCATTTTCATATTTATACACCTCTCTACAAAAGCAATTTTTAATGGAGATTGGTGGAATTGTTAAAAATCTGAGAGGAATCATGACCAAAGGTGTTTTGGTTTTTTTCCTATATTCAGTTTTTAATGGGAAAAGTTTTAAATGTAGTACAGTTGAGACCCAACTACTATCTTACTATTACAGGACGATTCTATGTTTCTGTTAAAGTATTTAAAAAATATTTAAGCAGTAGCTTTCTCTGGGGGAAAAAGTACCACTTGGATACTTAAAGGAATTGGGATTTTTGTTTACTTTGGATAAGGCAGTTGAGTTCTTAAGTAAAAGCAATAGTGTAAAATGTCATTTTGTTTGGAATGTTAAGTAAGCAAATAAAAAACATTGAAATTGTTGTAAACCTATCTGTTGACACTTCTTTCTTTCCATATTCTCCTTCCCTAACGTAAGTCATTCATGCTCATTAAATGTTTTTCTTATTTTTTTTTACCGTGTTGCTATAAGTAAAAGAATATACAGAAAAAAGTTTTGATTTTCTTGACTTTTTAACTGCTAGTTACCTATTTACAGTGTTGAATGAGAAACAAGTGGTTATGAGACTGAAAATTTCCTTTATTTAAAAAGAAGCCACCACCTCCACTCACCTGTTCTTACAAAGAGTAGGAATAATTCATGCTAGACTGCAGTTTTATTCTTAACTTTACACAAAAGTTCTGTTATCCATCATAAAATGGATCTATTTTTATATTAATATGTCATTCTTTATCTTTTTACAGCTGCATAGCATTTCTCTGTGTTTCGGGGGGAGGGGTACATCTTATTTTGAAATAAAAATATTACAGGTGGATCTGGTTGGATAAGTTTAAAGCAGTACTTATTAAAGTTAGTACTAATTATAGTTTTAAATATATGTATATATTCAAAAATAAGGCTGGAAATTAAAGATAAAACATTCATCTTAAGGAATTTGATGAACACAATAAATGTAAAGAAAAGAGGCAAGGAAATATTAAAGATAAGTGCTTAAAATGCATGGAATAGCAAACAAGCATAAAGGATCAACAGAAATAAGTTTTTGCTTGAAAAGACTAATATTGATAAACTTGATACTAATTAAGAATAAAAGAGAAAGCAGATGTCAAGAATGAAATACGGGACATCACTACAAATTCTATAGATAGTGAAAAAATAGTAATAATTTTGTCAAAAATTTGAAAATTTTAATGAAATACAAAAATTTCTAGAAAAATACAGCTTACCAAAAGTGTACAGGAAAAGGGGAAAGTCGTAGAGCTATTAAACTGAATTAGCAACTAAAACCCTTTTTGTAAAAACTCTGCAATTCTATATGGCTTGCATCAGTGAGTTGAATTACATGTAAGAGTAAAATCACTTTTCACAAACTCTTGGAAATGGTGGAGTATAGACTCCGCAGTTCATGAAACTATCATAACCTTGATGACTAAAACTCAAGAACAGTATGAAAAATAATAGTATGCCAATGTCACTTTAGATACAGTAATTATAAACAAAATATTAGCATATGGAATCCAGAAGCTTACTAAATTTAATATATTAATGACTTGCATATATAGATATATATGATATATCTAAATATATATGCTATATCTAGATATATATAGATATATTGCTTTAATATGTGATCAATTATGGCTCAGGTCAGTTGATGACCAGAATAAAATGTAATTTTTCATATTAACATTTGAAAATCATATGTTCTTAGATGCAGGAAAAACATTTGATAAAAATTCATTTAAGTTTAAAAAATAGTAAATGAGAAATAGCGATTAATTGTCTAAAATGTTTCCTTATAAATAAACTACAACAAAAATATGTAACAGTAAAACATATGGAATCAAATTTAGAAAGATTCTGGAGACGTGTGGAGCAGTTTGATGCAGCTCATTCCCCTCTAGGGACAGACCATGAATGAGAAAAATAAATGTTTTGACTCTATAGATTGCATTAAATCTGTAAGATAAATGTGAAAACAGTTTTTTTCTGGTACAAGAGTGTGTTATATACTTATATAGTTTTAAAAAACACATTTCAATAGCATTGTAGTCTTCATAGTATATTACACATCTTATGTTTATTCCTAGGTACTATTTTAAGATGCTTTTTTTTTTTTTTTGAGACGGAGTCTCACTCTGTCATCCAAGCTAGAGTGCAATGGCGCCATCTCAGCTCACTGTGTGCAGCAATTCTCCTGCCTCAGCTGCCTGAGTAGCGGGGATTACAGGTGCCCGCCACCATGAGCAGCTAATTTTTTTGTATTTTTAGTAGAGATGGGGTTTCACCATGTTGGTCAGGCTGGTCTCGAGCTCCCGATCTCGGGTGATCTGCCTGCCTCGGCCTCCCAAAGTGCTGAGATTACAGGTGTGAGCCACCATGCCTGGGCTAAATGCTTTTGTATGATACATATTTACAGCTTTATTTTCTAACTTTTGCTGGTATATAGAAATATGTAGACTTTTAAATATTTATTTTATTAGCCACTTTGCTGAACTCTTATGTATGCCAATTCTTTTCGATTTTCTGTGTACATAGCAGATTGTCAAATATCTTCTGATGACTGATGTTTCTCTGTACATTCCTATCACTCATGAGCTGTAACTTTTATTTCTTTCCATCCATTTATTTGTCTTACTGCACTACCTAGGACTTGTAGCACCATGTTGAGCAGATGGGCTGTGCCAGTTTGAAATTATTCAGCAAATATTCAGTCCTCTCCATTTCCCAATAAGGAGTGCACTTCCTTGCTTCCTTGATATTAGGCTTGACCATGTGACTTGCCACGATCAATGCAATGTTAGTGGACATAAGCAAAGCCTTGAAATAGGTTTGAGCAGTTGGGCTTTTTCTTGTACCTCTGCTGTCATCATGTAAAAGAGCATGCCTCGGGTTGTCCATGGGTACCAGATGAATCAGAATCACATAGAGTTGATCAGAACTGCTCACAAACTCATGGCCTGAATTTAAAGACCAACTGAATTCAGCTAAGATTAGCAGAGCTGCCTAGCTAGCCTACTGTTGTGTGAATTCATAATATTGGTCAAAAGATGCAGACATAAAACATATTGGATAATTCCATTTATATGAAATTACAAAATAGACAAACGAGCCTTATAATTTAGGGATGTATACTTAAATAGTGAATCCATGTAAAAACACACGGAAAACCATTTACCATGAAAATGAAGTTCAGGTGGTCTCAAATTGTGATACTGTGAGTGGAGGTGGATCTGCGGTACTTGCAATTTTATGTTTCTTAAGCTTCACTTGGGTTACCTGTTAGTTCAGTGTGTAATGATACATCAAAACATTCATTTGCTTTATGCACTTTTATGTATACATGTTGTATTCCACCATGAAAATGTTCCCATTTTAACAAATGAAGACAAAAGCAAGAATGATTTGTAGACTATATCTTGTTTCAAATAATGGCTTGCTTTGTTAAAAAGGAACAGACTAATTATTGCCATTAGCTTTGCATGGAAAAAGAAAAACTTTGTGGTGATTCTCAGGCCTATAGGGGCTTTTCCCACAGTTGTGTTCCTTATCAGATGAGATCACCGAGGCTGTTATCAGAACACGTGGCAAATCCCCAGGTATCTTCTGATACCAGATGGATTCCCTTATATTTCCCTCTATATGGGGACACTATGCTTGTTTTATGTACCACTGAATAGTATACAGCATCTAGTGCATAGCAGATCCTCAAATATCTTCTGATGACTGATGTTTCTCTGTACGAGGAATTGGCCAGCTTTCTTCCCTCCATTTGCAACTGCCCATTGCCTGACCAGGGTCACAGGCAAAGAAATAAAGTTCTATGTTTTCTTCCTTATTCTTGAAAGAAACATGCTACTCTAAGGTTGTGGTTTGTCCTAGTTTGAATTCCTTGTGAATCAGATCTTGAGGAAAGGATTTGCAATTCATTTGGGAGGTGATGCCAGGAAACACCGGTAAAGAAGTAGGAAACAGACAGGGAATAGAAGTCAGCCCACAAATACTGTAAACTAAAAATAAAATCCTAAAGTTTCCCTTGGCCAAGGGGGTCCCAGAGAAACCCTCAAAACTGAGTTCCCAGCCATGATAGAATGAAAGGTCAGACGCGCCTTGTTATATACCCTCTCCCTTAGATGGTTTAGACACAACTGACCAGGATGAATGTTAAAATAGAAATCACAGACTGAGGGAACAGACTCTTTGTGGCAATATTCTTTGTAGCATTTTAGTCTTCTCCATATGATATGACACATCTTTTGTTAAATTTATTCCCAGGTACTATTTTTAAATGCTGTTACGCAGTTTTACAGCTTTATGTTCTAACTTCCTTTGCTAGTACATAGAAATATAGGTATACAGACTTTAAATATTGATTTTATTAGCCAATTTGCCAAACTCTTATTATGTATACCAATTCTTTTGGATTTTCTGTATACACATTCATATCACTTGTGAGCTGTAAGATGCCAAATTATAACAGGACTTAAGGCCATGCCAGACAGGACTAAGTCACACACTCCTACACTTAAAGAATAAACTATTTTCTAACTGCCACAAGATTTTTCTTTTTCTCAAGCAGCTAAATAAACAGTGGCCTTGAGCATCCGTAGTAATTGCAGCTTCACCAAGTGCTGACTGACTCCAGCCCATTTTCCACCAGCCATAACTACAGCTTTAACTGGACAAGAGAAGGATTTTAGTAGCTTTCTCCTAATAAGAGACCAAGCACCATGGACTGGCTCTGGCCTATTTACAGAGCTGGTGCATTGTGTGCCTTGGTGTCCCTGCTTCGCTTTTTAAATGTAACTGTAATACATTTAAATGCTAAATCTTCACTCCAAGGTATAACATGCATGTTTGTTTAACTTGCATGCATCTACTTGTAGCCTGTTGAATATACTTGACCAACCCATTCAACTTAAATTCCTGTCTTACTCTTCCTTCCCTAGAAGTGCCTGCCTCTGGTCTTTGCTGGAGAATACGCTTCCTAGCCTGCAGAATGACCATCTTATAGGCTATAACCCTTTGTAAGAAATAAAGTCTCCTTTTCAAATGCATGAAGACCTTGTGATTTTTTAGTTAACAGTAGTAAGCAAAATACTACTGTGTTACTAGAGTTTGATCCCTCAGCAGTATTCCACCTGAGGGTTGAGGGAACTGAAATATTTATGTACTATTACCAGTTATTGGTAAAGGGCCACACTAGGGTTGTATTGTTTTCCCTGCTGTTCTAGAATGCCATGCACAGGTGAGCAAAGCTGGCTCTGGTGGCCGGAAGACTGTAAAAAGGCTACATGCTGACATGACAATAGGAGAAAGCAGGCCAGCACGCACTAAAGATCGAAATGGCATGTGTGCGACACTGAAGACCTGTACTACAAGAAAGTTTTGCAGGTAATGAATGGGGAAGATAACGCATGAAGGCAAGGTGAGAATCCCCAAGAGTAAATGTAATGTGGAGTTGATTAAAACAAGTAGAATGGTGTCTGGCAGCCTATAGCCTTCCTGGTCGTCCAATTGGCTTAAAATCAGGCTGGGCTTTGTCTTAAACTTCTTTTAATATCTGGTTTACTGTTTCCCTCTCTTCTGCATGCAGTTTGTAGGCATTAAAAAGGTTGCTACAGCTGCTAATGATGGATTTGAATTTGGCTTTGCTGAAAGATTCCATGAAGATTCACTTTCATCTCAGTAGAAACCTCAAACTGTTCTTCTGTCTTCTCAGAAGTCCCCTCCAGCTCTAAAATTATGTGATGCTAGCACAGATACCAGGACTGTAGTTACAGTCCTGCCAAAATGCAGTATCTTAGATTAGAAGCTGTTAAAGATGTCATCAAATGTGGACTCTAAACATTAAAAATCTATACTAATAATGTTCAGAGTAGGTTCATACCTGTCATTCTAAAGACCTGCACTTACCATTGAGCAATATCGTATTCTAGGTGAACTTCCACTCTTACACCCAGCTGTAGATTTCAAAAGACAGACTTTAAAAGGTATTAGCAATATTTTATTGAAATGTTCACTGACAACTGTGGTTAATAAAAAACTAATCTTTTTAATAACTTCATTTTTAAGTATTTATAAATATAAACTGCATTTCACTCAGTTTCTTTTACACCAGTTGGAATTGTAATTAAAACGTGTTAAAGTTTTTCACATTCAGTCACACAATTGCACTTCAAAAATGGTCAAATGCAATAGCTTATCTGCATTACATTTGCCAGGGTATACGCTGAATGTTTTACTTTCCCTTTCTTAAGACATTGAGAATAAAAGTAATATGAAATAGGCATTAGTTTCCTTTTTTATAGAAAAAAGTTCAAAACTCTGCACCAAAATTCCTTTATCTTTTTAGGCTAAAATAAATGAATAAGTTTTGTTTTAATGATTCAGACGGCAAGATTCCCACTGGTATGTTGCAACATTTTCTTGAAGCTGATTATGTGGTACAGTCCACAGTCTGCCTTGACTTGGACAATTCTCGCTTCAGTTTTTCAAAGCACACAAACATAATGACGTTCCAGGATCCGAGTCGCAAGAAGGAAGGTATCAACCTAGAAAAGCGCATGTCATCATTCTATTAGTTTGTTTGAGATACTTTTATTTTATTTTTCGAGATGAGGCCTCACCCTGTCACTAAGGCTGGAGTGCAGTGGCGTGATCATAGCTCACTGCAACCTTGAGCTCCCAGGCTTAAGTGATCCTCCCACCTCAGCCTCCTGGAGTAACTGGGACTAGAGACCACCACACTCAACCTGAAAATCTTAAAGCTATTATAGTACAAGCAGGTTGTGCTCCTCGTTTTGCCACTCCTCAAGGGAAGATGAATAAGAGTACCTATTTTTCATTTTTCCCTCCTCTGCTGAAAATAGTTTCCTCTAGATGTCCTATAGTACTTCAAAACAACACAGCCCTGATTATCACATCTATACAAATCCACAAATATCCTTCACACCCAAAGCATCTCTTCTGTTCTCTGACATGAACTTTTTCAAAAACTCTTCCCTCTTTTAAGGGAAGGTGAAATTTTTGCTTGTTTTGCTTTGCTTTCTGAATGGCAGGTAGGAAACCGTTAGAAGGGGGAAGGAAGAAGAGAAACCAAAGAAATATTGAGTAGGTGAATCATATTCCAGAGTCGAGAAATCTGTGCTGTCTCAATCTTGACAATTCTTGTTCTTAGGGAAATTGTTAAATGTTTAAATGGTTTTTATTGTTTAACCTATAAAAAGCACCCCTCTACCCATTTTTTTTCCTTCAAGTCTTTTAACATGTTTCTCTTGACTTCTTAATGTGGGTTTTTTAATTACCAAAAAATTAATAACATAAAATTCCGTTTCAGTAGCATTAAGTACAAACACATTGTGTATAACCATCACCACTATCCATTTCCTGAACCTTTTTGTCACCCCAAAAAGAAATTACTCATTAAACAGCTCCCCATTTGTTCCAACCTCCAGCCTCTGGTAACTTCTATTCTTTCTGCCTTTATGAATTTGACTACTCTAGGTCCTCATTTAAGTGTAGCCATACAGTATATGTCCTTTTGTGTCTGGCTTATTTCACTTTCATGCTGTGGTGTTTCTCCCCCAAAAGGTTTTTAAATTTGAAAAAAATAAAATTATTAAGTGGTTAATGGTTTAATACCTGCTATATCCATTTTAAGTTAATTTTTTAATGACTTCATTTGTATTAGTGTATTATAAGTATGGATTATGATGATTTGGAACTTTTTATAAAATGTGTATGATACATTCATGCTGAATTTATAAAACTTGAGGGATGGCCTTACAGTTTAAAAATGAGTAGAATTTTATTATTTAATCACTAGTGTAATCCTTATGGGATATATTGACAAATTACTTAATACTGTATTTTCTTCTTCTTTTCCTTCTTTTTTTGAGACAGGGCCTTGCTCTGTCACCCAGGCTGGAGTGCAATGGCACGATCATAGCTCATTGCAACCTTGAACTCCTGGGCTCAGGAGATCCTCTTGCCTCAGCCTCCCAAGTAGGGGGTACTATCAGTGCGTGCCACCACAGTCAGCTACTTTTTAAATTTTTTGTTGAGATAGGGTCTTGCTTTGTTGCTCAGCCTGGTCTTGAACACCTGGGCTCAAGTGATCTGCCTGCTTCTATCTCCCAAAGTGCTGGGATTACAGGTGTGAGCCACTGCACAGAGCCCATGCTATATTTTCTTACATTTTCTTACGAAGGTAGTTACCAACACAACATTTCATTATGGAAATATGTAATCTATTACACAACACTTGTTTCTAGATGAGTGTAATAATTACCCAAACCACATAATTATCTGCATCACTTTTCTAGACTGTGGTGACGACTTTTCTCTAATTTTACAATTTAAAAACGTGAGTCTACCAAATGAAATCAAATCTTGTTCTCTCATAGCTCTCTATTATGATTTCCCTTTACTTTATAGTTCTCTTGACCAGAGAAGGCAAAATACTGTCTACATTTCCACTAGATTGGGACCAATGGAAAAGGCAATGGTCTTGAATGAGACTTTGATCAAAGTTGAGAAAATTTTAACATCATGGCTTTTTACTTTTTGGCACAGTGGAATTGGTGGATTGGAGAAATTTGTGGCAAGGAAAAATCAATACTAAGTATATGAATGTACTAAGGTACATTAAGCTTGTAAGCTAAATGTCAGTTTGACTAAAGAATGTTCCAGAGCACACATGTAGCCAGAACATATTATAGATACAGAAGATCCTATCTTACCCCTTGAAAAAAGCCGTTGGTCCCTCCTTAGTGAACATTTTCATTGCGCAGTTGGGCACACTTTTGTACTGCCCTGGTGGAGAATTAATAAATCTGGTTTTGACCACATCCACTGGGGAGGACATAGCTGTTGCACAAAATCCAGCTATCAGAGCTGACACCAAGTGGCAGGGGACGTCATCTAAAACGGATCAATGAAACAGGTCCACGTCAGACTTTTAGGGGCTTGCAGTTTAGTTACTTGTCAGATCAGATCTTTATTAACCTGTTGATAACAGCAGGTCAGTGAAGATGTCTTATAAATAAATAAAATATCATAAGAAAGGTATTGCATTAGAAAAAGATGGTAGAGAATAAATGGCTGAATAGATTGTTAACACTTTAGGAAAATAACCTGTTAGTTTCCTCTGTGCCTTCAGGGCCTGCAATAATGCCTAATATATGAGCATCTAATACTTTTTCATTGAAATAAAGTCATTGTCCAAGGGAAATTTTAATGTCTCTAGAAGCTGTTAGAACATTATTTTTAAGAACCTATCCTATGGTACTACCTTTTGGATGAAACCACTGATAAACTCATTGTATAACTAGATCTTTTGGATATAGTGCAGGAGGGACTTACCTCCTGAATTCTGCTGTATAAAGAATAAGATTCTAACAAAAGTCCCACATATTATTATTAAATGAGAATAATGCTGACATAAGATGAAATTGCCTATTGTTTCTGTTGCAAAATATTTTTGTTGTAGTAAAACTTCTTAAACTTATGATTTTGGTCTTTTTCTGTTTCTCACAAAGTTATATATCATTCAAAATTACTTAATTTTTAAAAAGAGAAAATTATTAGAGTTAAGAGTTTGAGTATAAGGTGGCGACAGAAGCTCCAAGATGAAATTTTAAAGGTGCAGACCAGTTTGTTATACGAAATGGGAAGTTACCTGCTAATATGTCATTTTTCACAAAGGCCTCCTTCATTAGATCATACGTTACTAGCTCTGTACAATTGATGATGACGCTTCTTGTCAGATTAGGAATAGTCCCTGGGGGGAGAAAAAATGTTTACTAACTCTATGATAAGTTGCTAATTGTATGTATGCGCTTTGGTGGTTATACAATTCACATTGAAGTTAGTTACCTTTCCAAAGACCCGTCACGCCTTCGGTTGTTGCTATTATTCTGTAGGCGTTGTAAGTCCCGGTGTAGCGAGGTTTGATACCGTGGAGATGGCTCTGTGCTTGAAGTCTGACTTTAGCGACCTCTGTGGGTTGCCCGATGAATACTGCCACTCCTCCAGTCGCTAGACCAGCTAAGATCTTGCTTCCTAAACTAGGTGTTGCTATTCAGAGAGAAAAAAAAATGCATTTAGTAAGAAGAAAAAAAAAAAAGATCTAGAATGCACATGCATGTCTTTTTGATTTTCAGTGGTTCAGATTTTTGTATTCTGTTTTTATTTTATTTTATTTTTTTTGAGATGGAGTCTTGCTCTGTTATCTAGGCTGGAGTGCAGTGGTGCGATCTCGGCTCACTGCAACCTCTGCCTCCTGGGTTCAAGCAATTCTCCTGCCTCAGCCTCCCAAGTAGCTGGGATTATAGGCAAGTGCCACCACACCAGCTAATTTTTGTATTTTCAGTAGAGACAGGGTTTCACTATATTGGCCAGGTTGGTCTTGAACTCTGACCTCAGGTGATCCGCCTGCCTTGGCCTCCCAAAGTACTGGGATTACAAGCATGAGCCACTGTACCTGGTCATATTTTTGTATTCTTACAGTTTTTCTACTTCTCTACTGCCTGTTCATGTGTTGATCATGTACTAAATGTGTACCAACTCAGAGTAAGGCAAGAAAACTTCAGGTGTCTGAAATTTTTTTAGAAATGAAGACTTTCAAGGAACAAGAAAACACAATGCCTATTTTCTGGTGGCCCGATTCTTTCCTATGTTCAGCTTGGTTCTTTCATATATTTAGCTTTCTTTTTCAGTATTACCTGACTGCGAGGAGGCACAGTCACGAGTGAGGCTTCATCTTTCTCCCATGAATGATAATGTTAATTACGGGACTTGGTGGCCTTAGAAGAAGCCCTGTGGACAGGCTGCACCAATTGGGCTATCAACTAGTGTTAGGCTAGTTGATGTGAAGGGGATAAAAATAAGAAGACAGAAGCGAAGAAAGTAATTTTTGTCTTAAAATTTTGAAAAAAAATAGCTTATGTTGTTCAAGACAGGTATCATTTAATACAAATAGTCTTGAAGCCCAATATTCATTTCTACAATTAAGTAAATATAAAATTATGGTTCAGCAACATTTACTCAGCATAGACTTTCTCGGCCATTCTATTTCTGTTTTCTAATCTGTCAAGTAGGGATAATAATATCTACATCATAGAGTTGTGTGAGTTAAATAATATTGCTAAAGAGCTTACACTGTCTAGCGCAAAGAAAATCCGCAAAACTGGCAGCAATTTTTTCATCACTATCATGATTGTATTCTTCTCATCATACTTGACCAGGAGCTAAGCATATGATTGACAGCTGTTTTTTAAATGGCATTATCGTATGATTACAAACGCCTTCACTTTTAGCTCACATTTGTAATGCATTACACTACAACATAGTATATCTTGATGTACTATTCCTATCCTCCAATCTCCAGCTTTCAAATCCCTCTCTTCACTTCCCAGTCAAGCTTCCTGGAGAAGAGGCTATATTCTTTATTTTTTTTTTCCCAAGAACTAGAAGAAATTTATTTACAAAATATATTGTTCATCTTTACTTCTCAGAGCCCGTTTCTTCCTCCATCCCCTACAATATGGCTTATACTCCACTACTCTGCTGAAGATGTTTCTGCTACAAAATCAGTAGGCTTCTGTTTGTTATGGACAATGATCACTTTTCAGTCCTTTCCATGGTTCATTCTCTGCTGTCTGACCCTATTGATAGTCCTTGCTGTGACTTCCTGGAATCTAGCCCAGACTTTTCTCCTAAACTCATGTGCCTACTGGACATGACCTATTGACATGGCCTAAACAAAATTTCTTATCTTCCCCCTAAGATGGCTTCTATATATCCTCCCTCAGTAAAGGGTATCTCTAACCAGAAGCTTGGAAGTCAGCTCATATTTCCACCTGTCCTTATGCCTTACTTCCATTTGTTCTCCAAGTCAATTCAATTATACTTTCTTGATCTTTCTGATTGACATCTCTTTTTCCCCCGATCAAGAATTTCTTGCTTTCCAACTTACCTCTTTCTTACCCCCTTTACATGTATATTCTATCTGCTGCCAGAGTGATCTTTTGAAAATGTAAATTATTTATGCCACTTCCCTGCTTAAGATTTTTACAATGACTTCCCACCACTGTAAGGACAAAATCAGTCTCCTTAGCATTGTCTGCAAGAGCGCCTGGCACCTTCGTGCTTCTGTGGCTTCACCTCTCCTTCCTCACCCACACGTCCTTCCCTGTGCTCTCTACGTTCACTCTACTCCTCACTGACCCTTTGCATACAACCTTGACTCTACTTGGAAGGTCTTTTCTCACCCCTTTGTCTGGATTACTCCTGCTGGCCCTTCCAGAATTGATCCAGACATTAACTCTACAGGAAAATCTCACAGGACCATGCCTCCATGGCTAGGTTAAACAGTTCTGTTGAATGTGGCCACCATCTTGTAATTACAGTTAGTCACGTGCTGCATATGCAATGGTGGTCCCATAAGATTAGAACAGAGCTGACAAATTCCTATCGCCTAGTGACATCCCAGCTACCATAAGGTTGTAGTGTAATGCATCACCTTTTCTGTTTTTATGTACACAAATACTTACTGTTATGTAACAATTGCCTGTAGTATTCAATACAGTGACATGCTGCACACGTTGGTAGTCTAGGAGCAACAGAGTATACCATATAGCCTAGGTGTGGCTATGCCATCTAGGTTTGTGTAAGTGCTCCCCGTGATATTCATACAAGAGTACTTGTAATACAACATGTATTACAAGTACAGTCATGGAATATAGTCATCTGCTACTTCTCCCCACACACTCCATACTCTCAACTGTAAGCTCTGCTTAGAAACGCATCTGCCGGCCGGGCGTGGTGGCTCAAGCTTGTAATCCCAGCACTTTGGGAGGCTAAGGCGGGTGGATCACGAGGTCAAGAGATCGAGACCATCCCGGTCAACAGGGTGAAACCCCTTCTCTACTAAAAATACAAAAAAATTAGCTGGGCATGGTGGCGCGTGCCTGTAATCCCAGCTACTCAGGAGGCTGAGGCAGGAAAATTGCCTGAACCCGGGAGGCGGAGGTTGCGGTGAGCCGAGATCGCGCCATTGCACTCCAGCCTGGGTAACAAGAGCGAAACTCCATCTCAAAAAAAAAAAAAAAAAAAAAAGAAAGAAAGAAACGCATCTGCCATCTAAACATCTAACACAGCTCTCCTGGCACATGGAAGTTTAATAAAGCCTACTAAATAAACTGAATCTGTATAACATAGAATACTGCCAAGATATATTCTATTAATTTGGTGGCCCAAGTCTTCAACAATTAGTAGAACAGTCAATCTGTGAAGAAAACCACCTGAATGGGCAGCTTTACATCCTTTGTGTCTCTTCTCTTGCTACATCTATAAATATAAAAATGCAGTTTTGATCTGGTAACATCCAGACTTTATCTTCACTTTGAAAGTACTTGTGTGGATAAGTTTAACTTGTATGTTTGTATAGACAATATTTATAAATTGTCCCATAAAGTTACAGTATTGAAGGTTACTCAGAGCAGAAATGATGAAATCTGCAAGGTACATTTCACTTAATATATTCTTTTTGCCATTAGCACATCTTCTCTCTGGCTTGTCTGCTCCACATGAAAGTGCCTCCAATGTTGATTAACTGTGTGCCTTTGTGCCCGTTACTTAACTTCTCTGATATTCAGCTAACACTTTTTACTCACAGCATTGTTGTGCAGTTTGAATCATGGACAGAATCACATGTGAAGTGCAGATGGCAGTAGAAAACAGGGGTTAGGAGCCTGGAGTCAGAGGCCAGACTGCCTGGGTTTGAACTCTGGCTCTGCCCCTTCCCAGCTGTGTGACCTTGGGCAAGTTACAGATCTGCTCTGTGTTCAAGTTCCCATTTGCCAAGGGATAATGATACTAACACCCTTCCAGCTGTAACGTATCTGAAGCACTTAGAACAGTGTCTGGTACATAGTAAGCCCTCAAATAAATGCTAGCTAAAGTGACAGGAATTTCTGTCCCTTCCAGGAATGCTCCCGGCTTAGGCTTACTTTCTTTTCCTGAGGTGAGGTACTCCTGGACCGTGTCATAAAGGCCAATCCTGAGAGAGGTGGAGCCGATTTGTCTCTGAAGGCCGGCAGGCAGCCCGCTGTAGAGTTTCACGCGCCCTTCTGTTTTTACCAGAGTGGTGATTGTTCCCAGGACACCTTTATACCTAATACCACTGGACGTCGGGCATTCGCCTTGGACCTGGAAATAAGGAAGTTGCAGATCAGAAGAGAGTGAGCATTGAATTCACTCTTAAGCCAAGAATCCCCCCGACCCCCGCCTTGTTCCTAGTCTCCATTTCTTTTCTCAGCAACGCCCCTCTTCCATCTACCTCCCACTAGGGTGTGTGTGTGCGTGTGTGTGTGTGTGTGTGTGTGTGCCCGCGCGCAGATGTAGGGAGGCTGGCTACAAAGCACATTTTGAACATTCCTCTCCCCATAAACTCTCTAGAACCTCTAGGGCAGTAGGAGGGGGCAGAATCCCTGAAGAATCAAAGAAAGGAGAAAGCACTTGACTAGTAAACTCAGGAGAGGCCAATATTCTCAGCTCTTCGAATACTAAGTGCACCCCAACTCTTGGGAGAATTTGGTAGTAGTTACGGTCAGCTCATCCTCTGTGGTCCTTGGTTCTTCAACTAATCCCAGAAAAATTTCCAGTTTCCCATCGTAAAGCACCAGCCCCGGGACAAGGCCAGACTGCTTTAGAAAGCCACCTGCCCTCCCTAGAAACAGTAGTTACACCAAAGCAGAGAATAAATGGAATGCGCTCCACAGACGTCCCCACTCTGCCCTGAGACCTCTCGCCATGCCTCTCTGGCTGGCTACCTGGAGCCGGACTTTGGCCGTGTCCAGCGGGAAGGTGATCACGTCCGCCAAGCACGCTGCCACTCCAGCGGAGAAGAGCTGGACCCCCAGGGTCGGGTGCACGTCCGAGGCTGTCAGGCCCCCCATCTTCACTCAGAGACTGGGGGTGCAGAGGAAAAGGGATCCAGGCCCGAAGGTGGAGGGTTTCTCTCCCTTGCTCTTCACGCCCGCCCGCCGGGCAGCAAACCCGCTTGCTGTTTTTTGAACCCGCCACGGGGCAGCGGCGGTGCAGTGGCAGCGGCTGCAGGTGGAGTGTGCGCGGCGGTGGGGGCCGAGTCCCCGCGTCCTCCTCCCCGCCACCCTCGCGCCAGCAGGACCCTCTGCGCCCCGGTGTTCTGCCGGGACTTATATAGCCGGGCAGCTCCCAGGCTGGATCGCGTGAGGTCTCAGAAGAGCGGGCGTGGGACCTGGCAGGGGCGTGTCCGGGAGCACAGGGTTCTTCCCACCCGCATCCTCGCCCGGCGCCACTGGAGCTCCGCGTCGCTCCCCAAAAGCCCTGGGCCTGCCCCTGGCTGTGTGCTCACCGCACTACGCGCGTCGGAGGGAGCGCGCCCCGCGGCGGTCAGTCCCCGCGCCGCCGCACTCTCCTCACCTTGTGTCACCCTTTGGCTGCGCACCCTCGGCTGGGGGGCTTTCGGAAACCAGAACGATATCAGAGACCCTGGTATAAGTTCCCCCTGAGCTGGAGCTCTCCCAGAAGGAAGAGCGGGGCACGCTCTCATTCCTCCCACTCCCCAGACATCTTGCAGGCCCCTTGCAGCCTTCTCTGCTTCCCTTTTCTCTCCTTTAAACGTCTCATCCTCCTTCCTCCAGAGTCCCTTTCTTACCACTTCCCAGTTCAGACTTGGAAGAATCCCACACAAGAACCAAGAACACTCTGAACTTTGCAAAGAAAGCGTTTCATCACTTTTTGAGAGAAGATGTCAAAGGAGACAATAGACACACTAGAAAGCACATAGTACATTGCTGGAGCACTATACACCATGAGATACCGCTTGCTCCTTTTAATTGCATTCCTTAGTGGATGCGATGAAAAGGACAGGGCAGGTTGCTTTGCTCCAGGTGCAGCTCTCCAGTTTACCAACTCTGTGAACCTGGGAAAGCCAACCGTGCTCCAGCTTTTATTTCCAACAGTGTAAAATGTGGTTCCAGAGCTAGCCCAGGCCTGAAATCTTGCTAACTTACCTATAGTGATATTGTATATGTGGGTTGTGTGGCCTTTCCTAGTTCAATCTTTGTGCAGATTTTTATTTTCAATGTTTATTTTTTTGAAAACTTAAAAAAAAAAAACTTGTAAAAAAAAAAAACAGTGAGAAACCATAGGAAACAGGAGAAAGAGGGAAATAGACAAGGTCAGGTCCCAGCTTCCAGAACGTCTCAGATAAGCCAACGATCCATTTGATATTACCAAAATCCACATCCAGCTATCTAGGGCCTCTGGTACTCAGCCCTGACTTAAACCCCCAAAGAGAGTCAGTGGAAATCAGAGTCATCTCCTCCAAGAGCAGGGGAAATGAGACATGATAAAGAATCATCTCTAAATTGTCATCATCTCTAAATTGTCTATAAGTAAAGGTTGTGTACTGTGCAAGAAGCCAGTCTTAAGGCACTTCCATGGGAGATCAGGCTTGTGGAGCTTCCCTGAAAAAGGCAATGTTGCCAGTTTTCTCAACACTGTTTATTAAACATGGAGTCCTTTCCCCATTGCTTATTTCTGTCAGGTTTGTCCAAGATCAGATGGTTGTAGATGTATGGTGTTGCTTCGGAGGCCTCTGTTCTGTTCCATTGGTCTATGTCTCTGTTTTGGTACTAGTACCATGCTGTTTTGATTACTGTTGCCTTGTAGTATAGTTTGAAGTCTGGCAGTGTGATACCTCTGGCTTTGTTTTTTTTGTTTTTTTGTTTTGTTCTGTTTTGTTTGCTTAGGATTGTCTTGGCTATGTGGGCTCTCTTGTGGTTCCATATAAAGTTTAAAGTGCTTTTTTTTTACAGCTCTGTGAAGAAAGTCATTGGTAGCTTGATGGGAATAGCATTGAATCTATAAATTACTTTGGGCAGTATGGCCATTTTCATGATATTGATTCTTCCTAACCTTGAGCATAGAATGTTTTTCCATCTGTTTGTGTCCTCTCTTATTCGTTGAGCAGTGATTTGTAGTTCTCCTTGAAGAGGTCCTTTACATCTTTTGTTAGTTGTATTCCTAGGTATTTTATTCTCTTTGTAGCAATTGTGAATGGTAGTTCATTCTTGATTTGCCTCTCTGTTTGTCTGTTATTGGTATATAGGAATGCTTGTGATTTCTACATATTTATTTTGTATCCTGAGACTTTGCTGAAGTTGCTTATCATTCAAAAGTGGGTGAAGGATATGAACAGACACTTTTCAAAAGAAGACATATATGAGGCCAACAAACATATGAAAAAATGTTCATCATCACTGGTCATTAAAGAAATGCAAATCAAAACCACATTGAGATAGCATCTCATGCCAGTTAGAATGGCGATCATTAAAAAATCTGGAGACAACAGATGCTGGAGAGGATATGGAGAAATAGGAACACTTTTACACTGTTGGTGGGAGTGTAAATTAGTTCAACAATTGTGGAAGACAGTGTGGTGATTTCTCAAGGATCTAGAGATAGAAATACCATTTGACCCAGCAATCCCATTACTGGGTATATACCCAAAGGACTATAGATTGTTCTATTATAAAGACACATGCACATGTATGTTCATTGCAGCCCTATGTACAATAGCAAAGACATGGAACCAACCCAAATGCCCATCAATGATAGGCTGGACAAAGACAATGTGGCACATATACACCATGGAATACTAGGTAGCCATAAAAAAGATGAGTTCATGTCCTTTGTAGAGACTTGGATGAATCTGGAAACCATCATTCTCAGCAAACTGACACAAGAACGGAAAAAGAAACACCGCATGTTCTCACTCATAGGCAGGTGCTGAACAATGAGAACACATGGACTCAGAGGAGCATCACATACTGGGGGTAGTGGGAGTGGGGACTCGGGGAGGGACAGTGGGGCTAGTAGGGAGGGTAGGGAGGGATAACATGGGGAGGAATGCCGGATATAGATGAAGGGGGAATGGAGGCAGCAAACCACTTGGTTATGTACGCACCTATGCAACAACCCTGCATGAGCTGCACACGTACCCCAGAACCTAAAGTAAGAAAAAGAAAAAAGGCAATGTTGACTGTAGGGTGGCCTCTGAAAAAAATAGAAAGGAGAAGGAGCCACTGAGGTTTCTCCTCTGCAAACATTTGTTGAAATAAAGATCAATTGAGGCAAGTAAGTGGCATACATACAGGCAAAGATGGGGAAAGCAGGGCGGGTATATAAAATGCATTCTGTTGGCCTGACTGACTGGAAAATTGGGTGATGGGGAAAAAAGAGAGAGGTAGGGTAAAAAGTTGATGAAAGATGAGGTTGTAGAAGCCAAATGAGGAGCAGAGCCTGCAAATCCATTATGAGTGTGGATTTATGTCATCACCTGTGTTGTGCTTTACAGACTATGAAGTGCTCTCACATAAATGTCACATTTAATCTGATAGACAATACAGCTTTATGAATGTTTGGATGTGAAGTCAAAGGTGACTCTATTTTGAGAACATGAGTAGCAAGCTCAGTAATGGTACCAACTGATTGTCATGAGGCAGTTGGTAAAGGGGTGGTTTCAGGGGTAAGGAGATTAAACCAAATTTTAAAGTCTTATAATTATTTGGAGAGAATACTGTTGCTATCTAGATGGAGAGCTTAGGAAGCTGCATCTACCATGCTAAGAGAGCAAGAAACCAGAGCTGGGAGGTATTTGGTAGTGATGATTTGAATGTGATGAAAGAGACGTGCTTTACATGGGACTCAGTCCAATGGGAGTAGGAAAAGGGTTCAGGGACCAAACTATAGGGGGACCCAGACCCAGAGTTATAGTCTGGAAAGAATGGCCATGTCAAAGTTAGGGTGAGAACACGAAACAGTAACATATCCAGTGATAAAACTGGTATTTAAGAATATGATTAAAGAAAATTTGAGTCTTGACCAGTGTCAAGTTTAGAAAAAAATGTCAATGAACAAAAGCAAAGAAAAGCCTACCGGATTTGATGCTAGCATTATTGGTTATCTTAGGGAGTATGACTGCGATGGAGCTGTTAGGTTGTGAGGCTGACAGCTAAGCAGTGGTGAGAGTGCTGGTGTAGTATGACTAAAATGTACCAGAGGAGACCATGTTCCTTGCTGACTCTAGTGCACCTCTGCTACCAACAGGTTAATTCCCAACCCTCACCCCAAAGCTACCCATGAATCTTTCTCAGTGGTTCTATCTGTAGTGGTTTTAAAACATAATTGCAAATCCATCACATTCCTTCCATCAAAAGCTAAGGGTCCACGTGTCTTCCCCTGGCATCTGGGCAGGCTTTTGAATGCTTTGATTAATAGAATAATACAGAACTGATGCTACGTGGCTTCTGAGGCTAGATTATAAAAGTCCTTGCATCTTCTGCTTTACTCACTGCAACATTTGCTCTTGGAGCCCTGGGCCAGCATGTAAGAAAGCAAACTTCTCTGAGGCTGTCATGTTGGAGAGGCTCCACACCATCATCCCTCTCTACCAAGGCACCAGGCACCAGAGTACAGTTATCTTGGATCTTCCAGATAAGCCCACATGCCAGCTGAATACCACCAAGTAATCTCCAACAATGTCAGTAAAACAGAAGAATTGCCTAGTTGAGCCCTGTCTAAATTCCTGATCCATAAAATTATGAGATATAATAAAATAATTATTGTATTAAGGTAGCAAAAGATAACTGTAACAGCACCTTTACTTGTCTGAGCAGTTGGGAGGGGCATGCGTTCTCTCTCTGCCCCATCCTACTTTTAGAACGAGGAGTTCAATGCTGATGAGTGGGTATAGAGTTTTGGATTGGGACTGTAAGAAGAAGCCACAATATATTTGTAAAGAAGAAGCAAGGTAAATTAAAATTGTCTTTTTTTCTCCCAAAGGTACATATTTGCATATGTTAAAAGCAGAGTATGACAAACTGGAGGGGAAAGTGAGAGGAAAGCTATGAGAAGGGAAGGAAATGTGAGAAATAAGTTAGAAAACAAAAAAAGTTGTTGTCCGAAACAAGTAAGGACAGGTAGGGAGAGAGGACCCGTGACAGGAGAAAGGGGCTGCTTTATTTGAGCCTGGAAGGAAGAATGACAGTGTAAGCTTCAGGGATATTAATATTACCTAGATATGGACAGTTAAGAGACTTTGCCAGGAGGTAGTGTGACTCTAGTTCAATGGTGACTGAGCACCTGGGATGTGATGGGCACAATACTGACTTCTAAGGTCAAAGGAGAACCTGACATCAAAAACTTCACACAAGGAGACCCTGGGAGGTCACAG